TACAAGAGAGATATAAATAATACACTTTTTTAAATTAATGTTCCTCTTATACAAGGCCCAAGAGTCACTTAAGGTAGAAGGTTACTAACAGAGATTGTTGTATGAGATAAGAAGTGCAGTTTATAAGGATATGTGGGAAACATAATGGTTAATCCTAGACTTAAACAGGTTAAGATTGTAGCAGTTGGGAAAGCAGCCACTGTGGGTAGAAGTGCACATAGCATGGAAGTTCTTAGCTGTGAGGGTTAGAGTTTGTGGAAATGAGGAATGTAGCCTGTCTGAACATTTGCCATGGAAATAGCAACAGATTAGCAAGAGCCTAACTCAGATATTACATTCTAAAGATTCTATATTTTTTTTCATCTGCTCCTCTCATAAATTCAACATAACAGGGATTAGGGATTAAGAAATATATATAAAATTTTTTTCTAAGGGCTTTAAGAGAACCATGATTGCCCAAATCCTGATGTCTCTTCTATGGCACATAGAAGAAATATTTTTTTGGTTTTATTTTAAGTAGTTATGGTTTTGTTTTATTTTCTGCTTTTCATTTGTACTTATTTTCTGGAATTAAACCTATAGATTATTATTATTATTATTATTATTTGTGAATGTTATGTTTCCTGCTTTGTATCCTGTAGAGTCAGTTCCAAACTATGGTCATTAGGCTCATAGCACTTTTCTTAGTAGATGGGATTTTCCAAGAAGGACAATCTTCTGGGCAGCTTGTATGTTCATGTTACTTGGGACACTGTTAGTAAAATTGTCCATTCTTTTTCTCACACGGCCCCAGATGCTTTGATTAATATTGGTACAGTCTTAGTCTTCATTCCCCACATTCTGTTAATCTTGATCTCCAGGTTGTTATATTTGTACAATTTTTTGATAAATTTTATGGAGGTGTTTCTCTCAGATGGTACTGCTTTATTATTATTATTATTATTATTATTATTATTATTATTATTATTATTATTTTACTTTTGATTTCTAGTGTGTACACATTTCTTTCCGGGTCCCGACCAGAAACCTAAGGTCAGAAGTGGCATCATGACATTTTCCACTGAGCAGTTTTGAAAAAAAAAATCACACATATTTTACATAGATAAAGCCTTTTGTAAGGTGTAGGCTGTACTTGTAAGAAAACTTTTTTGCATTGCTTTAAGACATGGGCTACCAGGAATACCTTCAATGAATCTAATGCAGTCTTTTTGAATCAATCCGAGGTCTCCAACTACAACTGGAATTGTTGATGTCCACATGTGCCACATTTTTGAGATTTTGATTTCAAGGTCCTTGTGCTTTGATAGTTTTTTGATGATCTTTAAAGATACATTACAATCTGCGAGGTCTGCCATGTCAATGAGAAGGTGCATTTTGTTGTTGCGGTCTCTAATGATGTCTGGGCAATTAAATTTGATTGTTCTGTCTGTACATATTGTAAAGTCTCATAAAGTTCTTACAGGTCCTCTCTCTCTAACTGGGTCTGGGTGGTGTTCATACCAATTTCTTGCAGTTTCCTTCCCATAAAAGTTGCAGATTTTCCAGTGCAGATATTGGCCCACTCTGTCATGTTGAGATTTATATTTAGGTGGGAGACAATGTCATTAATATTATTATTCTCATTATTATTACTAAAAAGAAGAAATTACCAAGCACACATACAGAAAAATTGGGTTAATCCAAAATACAGATTCTGTTTATAAATATCCAGAAACAGTTGACCATTTTGCATCAGGTTGCACAGTGTTAGCACGAGCTGAATATAAAACATGGCATTACAGACTGGGCCAACATTTGCACTGGAAAATATGCAACTTTTACAGGAAGAAAACTGCAAGAAACTGGTATGAACATCACACAGACCAAGTTGCAGAGACAGGAACTGTAACAATTTTATGGGACTTTAAAATACACAGAGACAGAACAATCAAAGATAATCGCCCAGACACTGAGATCAAAGACCACAAGAACAGAATGTGCTTTTATTATTGACATGGCAGTCCCTGCAGATTGCAATGTATCTTTGAAGATCTCAAAAAACTATCAAGAGACAAGGATCTTGAAGTGGAAATCTTAAAAATGTAGTACATGAGGATATCAGTAATTCCAGTTGTAGTTGGAGCCCTCTGAATTGATTTGAAAAGGGTCTGATAGACTCATTGAAGGGATTTCTCGTATCCCATGCCTTAAATAAATGCAAAAAATAATACTCACAAATTCAGCTCACACATTACAAATAACTTTATCCATATAAAATGTGTGTGATCTTTATTTTGTTACAAAAATGAACAGTGGAAAATGCCATGAGGCCATTTCTGACCTGATGTCTCTGGTTGGGACCCAGAAAAAAAATCAAAGGAAATAATATTAATAATACAAATGAAAAATGCATGAAAACTACGAGAATTTAATGCGTTTTCCCAGGCTAGCAGAACTTCCATCTAAAAATACTCAAAAAATAACTCAAGCTGTAATATTCAATCAATAAATCAAAAAAAATAGTACAAGTGATTTATCTGGTTAACCAACTCAAGAATTTTGTAGCGAAACTTTCATATAAGTGTTTTGATGCAATAGTTGGTTACCCAGGTAAATCACTTGAACTTTTTTTTGAGTTATTGAATATCTAGTATGTGCCATGTCTCTTCAGGACATTGGTGATCATGGCTCTCCACAATTTCCTGTTTTTGTAACTCTTAATAACTTTTGTTTTTTGCCATTTCCCCAAATCCTGCTTCATCATCCATTCATGTAAGCTCACCAGATAGGTTATCTTTAGTTTTCATCTGTCTTGCTTACCTTCAATCTGTCCTGTGAGTGTCAAGTTTTCTAAACCCTCTTTTCTCATTATGCATCCCAGAGATTTCAACTGTCTCTTCCATTTTTATATTTATTTATTTTCTTTTTTAATCATTTCACCCAAGCAAGGTGAGAATGCCACTAAGATGCAAGGGGTTACTTGGAGTGAAAAAAAATAAGACTTTAGAAGGAACCCAATCCTAAACAAAAAACAAGTGATAAACCACTACTCCTGTTCAAAAGATAGGGAAGAAGTGTGGACCAGATGAAAGGTGAACCTATCTAGTGATAATTGAAATTTCTAGGGCACATAATGAAGAAAGAAGGCTTGGAAAATTTGATACTCACAGGATAGATTGAAGGCAAGAGGGTTAGAGGAAAAACAATGCATAACCTACCTAGCATGCTTGTGTAAATGGATGGCAGAACAGAGTTTAGGAGAGCTAACAAAAAGACACATGCACATATGCACAGACACACATTTCCTAACAGCTTAGTCCAATGTCTTTCCTTCCTTCTCAGTTGTGGACACACTAATATATTTTCTCTCCTTTTGTTAAGCTTTTATTAGTTTGTATAAAAAATACAAAATCGCCATCTTCTATCTTCCTGAAACGTGTTCCTTTATTGTCCTTTCTCTTCACTTCTCTTCACAAAAGTCTTCTCATTCTCTTTCACTCCCTGTCACCCTCTGCATCCTAGTGGCTTTATTGCCTTGCTTGGGGTGAAATGATTTTTAAGAAAATATCTGTGTTGAAATTCCTTCCACATTCATTCTGTTTCATTTTACCTCTGCAAATAGAGACAGCGCGTCATTTACAGGTGAATATTTTGGCAGCCACTGATTTTAGCTAAGCTAGAAGTATCCGCAATAATATATTTATTGATTACGCAACCTGATCTTTCCTCAGTAATAAAATATTCTAATATTACGGTAATAGAAGACTCTACTGCTCAATGCCAATAAGTAAATATCTCATTATTAAGTACGGTAGACCAGGCTGCTAATATATTAACTTTTAATTCTTTTGTTTCATATTTCTTTGGATACTTTACTTGTAGTCATTCAAAAAGTAGAATTCTTTCTTAAAGGCAACAAAAGTGTCTGTGAGATAAAAATCTTAGATTACTCATTCAGAAAATTTAAAGTAATTACTAAATTACTAACATACTAAATTACTAATTTAATGCTGTTTTAGTTTATAATGAAGTGAATTAAGTGAGAAATGTAAATTCTATCAGGTAGCATTTCACTTATAAGGAAAAATCATTCATAAAACTTATGTTTATTTAAATCTGCTGGATTTCTATTTGTTTGGGATTCATGGCCAAAAGGGCTTTTTCATTGGTCAATAAATATTCAAGCACAAAAAAAAAGTGTGTTTATTTTAGTCGTTACACTCTCGATTATTTGCCAGCAACTTTATAAAAAAAGCTCCATCCACTTTTGGCCTATAAGAATCTCACCCAACTATTATATTTACTAGTGTTTTTTTTTAACTGTCTTTCTCTATGGTGAGCATTTACAATTACTGGTAGATTCCGATGGATAAGTTGATAGTCTTAAGTTTAAGCTCTTATAGAATGGAGGTCTTGTCCTGTTTGCATCAAGGAAGAGCATCATGGTTAAAGAAAAGCTAAGAAAGTTATTCCCGAGAATTGTATGTAATCTGAAGATATATTTGGTTGAGGAAAGAAATTTTACAGTTTACAAAGTAAACAGTAGGCGTCTGTGTTTGCACATCAGTTGAAGTAGGAGTTGACTTCGGTCAGTCTCTTCAATATTTTATTATGGAAAGGTTTTATACAGGCCTCTCGCCAAAGTGTTTTGACTTGTGGGGTGCCAGCTTTTAAGTCAATTGAACTGCGGGTAAGAATTTGCACAATAAAATTAGTTCGCATAATTTTCCCAGAGGGGAGGGGTCAAGGAATTTTATAGAGAGATGCCCTCCAGTACCACCAAAAGTTCTGGTTTTGTCTTAAAGTAGCAGAACAATTTTTACCTTTGGGTCAAGGACAAAAAACACAGACACATATTATTATTAAATACATGAATTATTATGTATGACAAAGAATACTTTGTTTTTTGAAATTTCTAGTTTTCTAGCAGGAGAATAAATGGCTGGTTCATGTTACAAGTGCTTTTGGCCATTCTCTAGTAATTATCAGAAACATACGATATAGATATTATTTATCAGGACTTATAGATAGATACAGAGAGGGATAGATAGATACCTACATAGATAGATAGATAGATAGATAGATAGATAGATAGATAGATAGATAGATACATAGGTAGATAGATACCTACATAGATAGATAGATAGATAGATAGATAGATAGATAGATACCGACAAAAATAGATAAATGCCTACATAGATAGATAGATAGATAGATAGATACATACCTATATAGATAGATACCTACATAGATAGATAGATAGATAGATAGATAGATACTGACTAAAATAGATAAATACCTACATAGATAGATAGATAGATAGATAGATACATACCTATATAGATAGATACTTACATAGATAGATAGATAGATAGATAGATAGATACCTGCATAAATAGATAGATAGATAGATAGATAGATACCTACATAGGTAGATAGATACCTACATAAATAGATAGATAGATAGATAGATAGATAGATAGATAGATATAGATTTTTCTGCCTTATTTAATCAGTGATCACTTTAATTAATTAGTATTATTATGTACATTTTTCTTAAATTTTTTGATTGTAAAATAGTTCTTTTTTTTGCCAGCAGCCATGAATTCAATCTGTGGATTGATAGCACAGATCAATCATCTATTCTAGTTCATTAGAGGAAACACACAAGTGACAAGTGGATTATCCCACTTGAATATGCCAAAAGCATCCATTAGGTGGTGCTCTTTAAGTCTATAAAAAAGGCTTCCTCTCTTTTAATTCTTTCTTCCAGATGTAGTTGAATGTAAATAAAGAAAACTGACACTTTGTCAATACATGCATATAATTGCCATTATTTTTTTTAATTTATTGGTTTATGTTTCTTATTTTTACCTAAACTCAAATGAGTCTGCTAATATTGTTTGCAGGGCAAGTATTCCAGGAGCCCATAAATATTTACTGTAAAACAATCACACACCTCATATCCAAAGTATTGACTTATTTTAACCAAACATCACAGAATCCCACAACAGACACAAAAGGGGATAAGATGGCTATGAAATATCCTCTAATCATCAAAAGCAGAATAAAAACAGTCTACCTCAATAGAGTGACTAGATTCTAGACGTGGACAGTAAAACACCCTTGGAGGTGCCAAGACATTTCAAGGCAGTGATAAATGTTCAGTGTTGTTATAAAGTCGGTATAATCTTAACATGGCCATAAGGTGATTTGATTCTTTGAACACTGATCTTGACATCTCACAGCATTTTATATTCATGCTTGTTTCTATTCTCTTATATATATATATATATATATATATATATGATGCATGTTTCATTAAATAATATAAACAAGTTCTGTCTATTTATTTTAAGCAAATTCCTTTCATATCATATGATAAGCTTAATAACATTATCATTGAAAGACTAAAGAAAATCACCATATTGATACATGTTTTTTAAACCTATCTAAGCTTTCGGCTTACATAAGCCTTCATCAGAGATGACAAGTACATTACAATAAATTAAACAATACACGGACATAGCAACAATGATAGTCTGTTTTTTTTTTTCATAAAAGATTTCCAAGCAATGACAAACTCATGCATACGAGACGCTGGAAGTGAAAATCGCACCATGGCCCATGATGTCACACATGACCACGTGAGAGTGAAAACGAGAAGTGTTAAGTATGGGAAGCCCTTGGTATAAACCAATGGCTTCTGTTTAGTGAAACATGTATCAATGAAAAAATGCTGCCTAAATATATATTATGAAATGGACAAAGTCCGACAATTATTTTAAGACATTTTTATGTTTAACATTCTTTTTATAGATACAAATATTTAAGTAAATGCTCTGTTTATAATAAACAGTATTAAACAACATTTACCGGCCTGAATGTCTGAGAAATTTTCATAGAAAATATTCATCCTCCGACAGGATTTGAACCTGTATGGAACACGTCATTTAGCTTAACGTGCCTTTAACCGATTTGGCCACGAAGTAGCATTCAGTTAGCAAGATCAATTTTATTGTCTTTAAACTACAATCATAAACTACAATAATAAACAGTATTAAACAACATTTACTGGCCTGAATGTTTATTATAAACAGAGCATTTACTTAAATATTTGTATCTATAAAAAGAAAATATCAACATAAAAATGTCTTAAAATATATATATATATATATATATATATTGGATGATTTTGAACATTTAATTATAATATGTGTATGGAGCAAAACTCTGCAAGCTTAAGTTCAGCAGTTTCTATGATTTGATCCTGTGACTGCTACAAGTCTGTTCCAACCACAACTTACTTCAGGTGATAGGTCATGTTATAATGCAATAAAGTGTAAACACATGACATTGACTCTATTTTAATTACTTTGTTTAATTTACCAGTGCAGTTTTAACATAGGAATTACCATCTTGTGCAAATATAAGAAATGAAATTACAGGAGGAGAAAACATTAGAAACCAAAAGAATAAATGGCTTGGTTTAAACTTCTAAAAATTTACTGAGTACAATGACAAACACCTGAAGAAGGCCAACAGGGTACAACATCAGAAACATTGTGTATATAATTAGCAAGATGAGCATGGTGGACTGAATACAAAACTTATAATAAGAAAGACACCTGAAGAAGGCCAGGGTTACAATAGCAGAAACATTGTGTATATAATTAGGTTATATTAGGTTGGTGCAAAAATAATGACGTAACAATGTCGTTTTTTGACGTTAAAAATATGTCAAAAAACGACATTATTACGTCATTATTTTTTGCACCAACCTAATAGTTTTTTTTTACCAGCCTTATGGGTCATTTCATGCCAAAATTTTATTTTCTTGTGAGCTGTGCTAATTTTTTTTTTTTTCCTAAAATGTAATGCTAGTAATTTTTAATTCTTTCTTCTTTTTTTTCTATGAAAATGCATTGCTGGTAATTTTTATATTTTTCATGTTTTGGCCCCAGTTTGGGGGCTCACTATTTGCCCATAGCTGGGACCCTAACGAGTGCTACCACCCCAGGTCAGGGTGGACCTGGGAACAACAGAAATTAAGAGGTATTTCCACACTCCTCAAACGCTCCCAGTCTGAGGTTTTGCTGCCAGATGTAGTTTGTCATACCCAGGATGAGTGTATGTCAGTAATAAGATGAGTGTGGTGGTCCAAATAACAAAGTAAAATGATAATAAATTCTCATCTCAAAAATTCTGACACAGGATAATTTTCTTTAATATTTTTTGATTAATTATTTCAAATTTGATTTGATCAAATTGATACAATTAATTTGCCCAAGTAAAACAATTGAATACATCAATTGATAATAAGATAGAGTTAATATTATTGATTATTTTATTTCCACAATTAGCTATTATAATTCTTGTGTAAGTACTCAACTATCAGTGAAAAAATAACTGAATTAGGTCATTGAATCTGAAATGGAGTTATTCTTCTAAAGCTAACATTCCATAAGGTTCAATATAATTTCTAAAGACCTTTATAAATTTATGTTTTATACCGTATCTATGAACACTACTGGGTGTGTCCCAATCCTCATAAATACATTGGACACTATTGTACTTGGGGGTAATATGCTGTCTAAGTAGTCCACCACCAGCAGTGTTTGACCAACTTCATGCTGTTGTCGAGTATTGTATTTTGTTGATGTTATAAAGATTACCATTTACCTTTCCAACCTCCGTTTTGGTTATTCCTTATTCAGTAATCTTTTCTAGGTTACAACAGTGTATCCTACAAATTAAACACTCATTGATTCTTTCAAATCATGATGAAAAATACTCCAAAAAAAAAGAAATTGTTTAAAGCTTATAAATGTAGGAATGGCTATGAGAAATGTCATAATTGCACAAGCCATGTTTCGACTGTCTTATCCCTAAATGAAAATAAATTGATCCCTTCTCAGCGCTTGCAAAGTAATAATAAAGTTACACACTGAAAATTTCAGTCAACTCAAAATCAAGCCAAAAAGATATCTCGACAGATCTGAAGAACACTGCAACAGATGTACACCAATTTGAAGAAGGTTGAATATCAAGGATTTCAGAGGTGGGTTATATGAAAAGAAAATTCACCACTGAGGAAAATTCATAAAATATATGCATTGTTTAGCATTCTTTAAAAAGGGTTTTGAATAAATCAAATAATTACTAGAAAAGAATTTTTTAAAGATTTAACAAGTAATGTTACATTTCGACAAAAAAAAAACAGAGCAACCAATATAAAAAATAGCATCTTAATGGTGGTGGTGGTGGTGCTGGTTTAAGTGGTGGATACCTTATTTTATGGGGTGGCTTTAATGCAGCAGACACTAGAAAATTCACAAGAACTGAAGAAAAACCGAGATCTGCTAAAATATCAGTCCATTCTTTCAAAACTTTTTTTTTATTCGCTCTGTTAACCAGTTTAGATTTGAGAAGCAAGTCATCTGTTGTTACAAAATATATAGGCCAGCCCAAACTGAGTGGTGTTGGTTTGCAGCTACTGTATGTGGAATTTCTGAACATGATGGTTTGCCTGTCTTTAGTCCAAAAGTGGGTGAAGACATGCAAATGACTGCCAGAACTACAAGGGTCAACTTGCCATACCCTCCTTAGTGAGGCAAGCCAGCATGTGGTGATAAGATTTTGGTCAACCGGCTGACATGCGTTCTCTCAATCATCTCTTTCTTGCTTCCTCCTAGAAATAATTCTACGAATACTGTCAATCATAAAATAAAGTGAGTAAAAAAGAAAATTACCCATCATTGATGCAGCTTATAATGTAGCATTGTGGTTTAAAGAATTGAATCCAGAGATGACACAAAACAACATCTAGGAATTAAAATCTTAAAATAGTTTAAGTTTATAGAATGACTGCCTAGTTTAAGTTTATAGAATGACTGCCTAGTTTAAGTTTATAGAATGTCTGACAATTGAACATTTAAGGAATGAATTGGACATTTCTATTTGTAAATGGAAGAATTCAAATCTGGACAATTTGGAACCTTTCTGTATATGAGAATGGTCTGAAATACTACTCAAGGAAATATAGAACTCTTTCTGAAGGAAACAGAAAATGACTGTTCCCAGTATTTATCTACCCTCCCCATGGAGATAAGATGTGCCACTGTCATACAGGGCATAAATGAATGGAATCATCCATTTATGTAAATAAGTGGAGTTGAGGAAAGTTAGCATTAGGTTAATTGCTAAGTGTACCTTTGTCTAGTAAAGCTTCGATTTCATTACTTACCTACGAGTTTGTCTTCTTTTAGTTTTTTCCATCTGTTATCTCAAAAACATGAGATATGACAGTCACATGGACAGTTTTAATGAGGGATGCTCATACATGTACATATGGGAAAAGAACAAAAATTAACCTGTCCCTGCAAAAATTGTCATGCTGGTGTCAGTATCCACTATATATAACAGTATAATAATAAACCTATACATATACATATATATATATATATATATATATATATATATATATATAAATATAATTT